ACCTCGAAGCATCCGTATGCGGGACAAAGATGACCATATTGGTATCTTTCGGCACATTAGCAATTTTGAGACAATTTTCGGAAAGGTCGAATTCCCCTGCTGTTATCAGACCAGATGCGTCATAGTGCCAGATATCAAGCGAAAAAGGGCCACTGCTGACCTGGATTCTGTACCTGAGCATTGGCGTAGTCAAAGTTAACCCCTCCAGGTGCAGATGATAACTTTATAGTCGCCATGGAGATGTCATTACGCCGAGTGGACAGCACCAACAACATTTGGGAGACCTCCCCAAGATCAACTGTTTTCCGTAAGCTTCACGAATACGGAATACAAGAGCTCCTACCCTCGTGCGACTGACGCAACTCAATATCCAACCCTCGGGAGTTATATGGGAGTCGCACCAATGACAACATCGTTTCCTTCGCGGGACTGGAACCCGCTGACTTGTGACTCCATTGGAACCGAAGTCTAGACATTTGGATCTCGCTATTGTCAAGGACGTATACACCACAGCATGCCGTCTATCGGGTCCCGTGGCTCAACAGTCTCGGAGCCAGCATATGCATAGTGACGCACCGCACAAGTCAAGGTCAAATGATTATCTCCAGGGGTGAGCTTATTGACTTGTACCGCAAACTTCAAACGATTGGCATCTTGTCCTGTGAGCGTTACGTTGACTTCGTCGATGATGACGTCCTGGAGCAAACATCAATAGTCAACATGCAATGTCGGTAATGTCCGTACGCATGGTAGTCCGTTGTGAACCGTCACTTCCAGGGAAAGACTGTCTTCCTCCTCAACAGAGCCGGCATCGCCCGCGACACTGATTGATATCACAGGATGATCAGGGTGGATGAGATCTGGAAATTTCCTGGTCAGTGGCACAATATACATGTAATATGGGTCAGGCCAATGACCTGAATCAAGTTTCTCGGCCGCCTCTCGAAGCGCGGTTACAAGTCCAGCAATGTATTCTGGAATATCTTCCTCAGACATGACTAACTCCGTATTCCTGTCATTCACGTATGTCTTGAGGAACGCGAGAAGGATGTGGATCCACTCGCGGTCGCGCGGTTTCTTTAATGCAGCGTGCGTATCGATCGCACGCGACAGCATCAATGACTCCAAGGATGTCCACCTATGAGGAGCATAATGTGCTGGAAGAGACGTAAATATAGTAAGTGCGTTGGAAAGCCTTCCGCGGAAGCTGCAGTATATAGGCACTCAGTTTCTGAAACGACCAGACAGGATCGCGAGCCTACACGTCAAGGACAGCGAGGCTTCCGTGTATCTTGAGTGCGAATTTTCTTCTCCCAGCTTTCACGTACATGTCAATGGCGCGATTGGAAATGGTGGTGTATAAATCATAGAATGTTTCCTTGTCCCCGATAGCGGATATAATCTCGCGCTTACTGATGCGATAGTCTGAAGACTTGTCCGTAATGGGCGAACCTGAGGCGGCCGCTGGGGCTGGTATCGCCAAGGAAAACGGTGGCTGCGAGGGTAAATACCCTTCTCTAATGCCGAGCATATCAAGCTATTGTTTTGCTCAATATATGATACGTTACTTGCAGCACAAGTACACACCTGACTTTTTGCGAGTTCGATCAGTTCTCCTTTCCTTGCGCTGTAGCGTGCAAGGGGTTGAGCATCCATCTCGGGCCATAAAGAAGTCCAAGAATCACACTGATCCAGAACACTGAGAGCGGAGGAGAACGTCCAAGATTCAATGAAGTATTCAGGGAGCGAAGGCTGCAAAATCTTGTGAGCATGTTGGTATCAAATACATCGATATGCTCCCTAACCTCAACCTCCCTTAAGTGTCTTCCGAATGTACTCAGAAATGTGAACGCTTTCCAACAAATCTCCGACGGTTGGCACATCTTGCTCAGTAGCGCGGATTGCCTTGAAAGGAGATATACCCGCAAGTCGAAGACGGAGATTGTATTGGCGAGGATGAGATCGCGATAATGTTTTTTGGACGTGGATAGCAATGGCATGGAGTCGTCATTGGGTACTGGATGGATGAGACTGCCAAACCACGACATATTCTTCTCCCTTAAAACCTGCATGAAAGCAGCTTCGAGTTCGTTGTACTGTTGCAGTGCATCCTCGAAGAGATTTATTCCTTCATACGAGGTTGCTAGACTTTCCTGAGACGACCACTTGTTGGGATGTTGTGGACGAAATACTTGTCGGCTTACCTTCAGGATAAAATATGTGCAAAAGTTCCACCCCGGCATGTGACGCTGACCTTCGGACCGCTTTAGTTCCTCCTCCCTTGATAATACAGAATTATCGAGGGCAGAAAGTAGCCCATCCTTGATCTTGCTTATGAGGTCGGCCCAAACAGCTGGACTTTGCTCGCCAGCAGACCAGGCAAGCTGCACGCACCTATGAGGTACTGTTTACAGCCACCCAAAAACTAAATTAACGCATGGTATTACCTGTCCCGCTTGTCAACGTTACAATCTGCTTTGATCTTGTCCAACACAGAGCCCTTCATGTTGAAGAACTTTCGGTCCACCACTTTTGTGTCTGGCCGCACGACATGTACAATGAGCCATTCCTGGTTCTTCCTAGGCAGGACGGATGTCTGCCAGTCTTTAATCTGTTTCTTGACAGTTGTTCTGTAGGCTTCATTATCCTATACGGGAGCGTAGATAATAAAGCTGAGTCGGAATACAAGTACACTTACTTCACACGCAACAACATATAGATTCAAGAGTGGTTTCTCGAGGAGGGTGAGAGGAACTTGAGAGGTAAGCTCGTCTCGAAGGGAGTCGAGAGGAACCAAGGTCACCTCCAGCTCTTGAATGGTGCGTATACTGGGTCGGGAAGCGGACTTCCAGTGAATGCTGCGCAAGGGTAATTGTGAACGTAGAGCCGCTATCACTTGCTTACAACTATCAGAGGACTGGAAGGAAGGGGGCGCAGCGAACGTCGCTAGAACATGCTGGCTTGACATTGCGTCGCGTCAGTGCTTGACACCAGCTACTAAGTACGGCCCGACTGAGATTACTTCAAGTTATAATAGAGTCGATTACTAATCGTGGGAATAAAAACAAGGCTATCTTCACGTCCAAATGCCAACACCAGACGAAGCCAGCACATCCACCACGAAGACTTTCAGAGACCTTGGTCTGATCGAACCTCTCCTTCAGGCGCTCGACCAGATCAACTTCAAGACACCGACCGAAATCCAGCAACAGGCCCTTCCCTATGCTTTCGAAGGCCGTGATATCATTGGCGTCGCAGAAACTGGATCAGGCAAAACCGCCGCATTCGCTCTACCCATCCTACAAAAACTATGGGAGGAACCAAAAGGACTCTTTGCATGCGTGCTCGCACCTACGCGTGAGCTCGCTTACCAGATATCACAACAATTCGAGTCTCTCGGAGCAGCCATGGGTGTCCGCTGCTTAGTTTTAATCGGAGGAATGGATAAAATGCCCCAGGCCGTTGCCCTCGCGAAGCGGCCGCATATCATCGTTGCGACGCCCGGTCGTCTGAATGACCATCTCCAGAGCACCAAGGGGTTCAGTCTAAGAAATCTGAAATTCCTGGTAGGCACCATCGTCCTCAAAGTGTGCGCGTGGGCTTATTGCTGCAGGTCATGGACGAGGCCGATCGCCTTTTGGACATGGACTTTGGTGCCGATATCGACCAAATCCTCAAGGTGATACCAAAGGAGCGGACTACTTACCTCTTTTCCGCGACAATGACTACGAAGGTTGCGAAACTGCAAAGGGCTAGTTTGTCGAATCCTGTACGAGTCGAGGTCTCGTCAAAGTAAGTAAACCATTCCTCTTCCTCTGCTGCGTGATTAACGCACGGCTTAAGGTATCAAACTGTGTCAACTCTCCTACAGTATTATCTTTTTGTTCCGTTAATTCAGAAAGACGTCCACTTAATATATCTGGCAAACGAGCTGGCTTCGAATTCAATCATTGTTTTCACCAGGACAGTACATGATGCTCAAAGGTATGTATATAGCACTAAATTTCCACATATTGCGTATGTCAACCCCTCCACAGGTTATCCATCATACTTCGTACTCTTGGGTTCCCAGCCGTTCCCCTTCATGGACAACTCAGTCAGAGTCAACGCTTAGGAGCACTCAATAAATTTAAAACAGGAGGCCGAAGGGTTCTGGTGGCGACCGACGTTGCCAGTCGGTAGGTACACCGTAATATGATATCCTTCAATGAGCTGACCATTTGAGATAGTGGTCTTGACATACCATCTGTGGACGTGGTGGTCAACTTTGACATTCCTACGCATTCAAAAGATTATATCCATCGTGTCGGACGAACGGCCCGTGCAGGACGCGCTGGAAAATCAATCACGATAGTCACACAGTACGACGTCGAACTACTCCAACGCATAGAAAAGGTTATTGGGAAGAAGCTTGAATTATTTCCCACTAGCAAGGAAGAGGTGATACTCCTGAAAGAGCGTGTGGATGAAGCTGGTCGGTTGGCTGTGAACGAGCTTAAAGAGGAGGCGAAATCGAATGGGGGAAAAAAACGGAGGCGAGATGGAGGAAGGGGGCGAGATGACAAGGATCGGGACGATGATGTCGTTGAGGCAGGGATGCCTAGAACAAAAAAACCTAAAGGTCACCGCCGGTAGTTGTCCAAATGCTCTGAACAAACACGACCGAGAGTCTCTTAGAATTATATCATGACGGATGAGACGCTGAAATGCGTGCCCCGTGGCTGAGTTGGTTACAGCGTCCGACTGTTATGTTTCGACATCGGAAGGTCGTGAGTTCGAGCCTCACCGGGGCAGTTGTTTTTGCTAAGCTACGAGATGTTTTGACAACACTATACAATTATTACAATAATATATTTATTAAGGAGGGGACAAGTCCTCACATTGACAATGGAACTCGGTGGATGGTGTGTTATGAATTTGGAGCAATTGTTGGATGAAACGACAACCTGACAGTACTTGCAGGTTATTGAGAACATTCTCCAATTCCTGACCAAAAAGTACTGCCCCAGTGAGGCTCGAACTCACGACCTTCCGATGTAGCTAACGTAACAGTCGGACGCTGTAACCAACTCAGCCATGGGGCAGGCATTATCCTTTTCAAGAAGCCCATTATGAGATGTGCAACCCTCCCACCAAGCCTTGCGATGGGAGACGTAGGATTTGAATGCCATACCTATTGCTACGGCTAATGTAGTATATAATAGACGCCGACGGCACCACTAGTAGTGAAAGACCGACTAACATTGTAATAAGTGGAGCAAATAGGGAAAAAGACCAGTGAAACCAAAGACGCTGATACTCACTGGCAAAGGCGGCACCAAATTGACTTCTTCAAGGTGCGGTACTACTTTTATGGCATACGGATGGAGTTTGTCTCAAAAGAACGTCAAGACGACGACTTGAAAGTGATGCAAAAAAAGCGTCACCTGAGCGATTCGAACACTCGCGGGCAAAGCCCAACCGCTGTGCTGATAGCAGGCGATCCCGTTAACCACTCCGGCAAAGTGACCTCATGGCGTAAAGTCAGGAGTGTAATAGATGTTGATCGAGTAGAGATTGTCGAACTAAACAACTTGCCACATGTAATATTCATCGGGTTCTAGAGTTGAATCTTTGCCCTACATCAGTGTCTTACACGAATTCGTTCATGTGCTGAATTAGTCTATCCACCTGATCTTCCGTTATTGCATTGTAGAGGGAAATGCGGGCACCTCCGACGGACCTACCGTGTGTATTCATATTCAACGAACCGATATAACAAGGCAGAGAATGCTTACCGATGACCTTTGGTCCCTTTCATTCCTCTGCGCTCCGCGCCAGCCACAAACTCTTTCAGCCTATCCTCTCCGCCCACTACGTCAAACACGACATTCATCTTGCTTCCAGAGCCCTCCAACACCTTGCCTTTGAAAACACCTCGGGCTTCCCCTTGCTTCAGGGCCGCATATAATTTCGAGGCTTTTTTGGCAGTGCGTTCCCCATAATACTCGAGTGTTTTCTCTCTAGGCCGTCCATTCTGTTCCCCCACTTCCAACATCCGCCGAAGCACCAGGCCAGTGATATATATCGATAGGACTGGAGGGGTGTTATACAAGCTGCGACTGTCCACCAGAGCCTTGTATGATAAACACAGGGGAATGCTGCTGTCCAATACGTTTGTCCATTCGTCCCTGACGATGATGATCGTCAAGCCCGCAGGTCCAATGTTTTTTTGCGCCCCGGCATAAATGACTGCATGTTTTTCGATGCATGGGATAGGACGTGACATGAAGGAGGAAGAATAATCTGCAACGAGCGGGGCATCATCGGGGATGCTGGCGAATGGGAATGAAGTGGGGCTTTTTGGATCATCGTCGAATTCGACGCCATCGACAGTCTCGTTGGCACAATAGTAGATGAGAGCCGAGTCGTGCGAGAATTTATCCCTGTAGCTGTCGCGATCGGGGATGTGGTTAAAAGTCTTTTTCCCGTCCTCGGAAATGGTCTGCGCGTTGACGACGACGTTGACCTCCCCTATCCCAAGCCTCTTCGCTTCCTTCATCGCCTTATCACTCCAGGAGCCGGTGACAACATAGTCCATTGCGGGCTTTTGAGTCGTGCCCTCGCGGCTTCGATATCTTGCAAGCATGTTTAACACCACCGCAGAAAACTGGGCGGTTCCGCCTCCCTGAGCAAAGAGAACCTTGTAGTTCTGAGGGAGCTGGAGAAGTATTCTCGTGTTCTCCTCAACCTCCCGGATGAATCTGTCAAAGTCTGCAGAACGGTGCGATATCTCTGCGATACCAATACCGGTGTTTTGGAAGTTGAGTAGGCCTTTGCAAGCTTCAGTGAGGACCTCCTCTGGCAAGGCCGAAGGCCCTGCACCAAAGTTGATCACTCGATCAGACATGAGTACTGAGTTGTGGACGGATGCGTAGATAACCAAAGGGAAATGATGAGTAATAAATAGTGGTGTGCAATGACTCGGATTTACGGGACCGATCGCGGTCGAGTCATAACGCTGGTGTGGACCGCCGTTCCGACGACATTGTATCAAATAAATGCCAGAATGTGCATTACCAGAATGTCCATGCAAGTCCCATGTGGACTCGGATAACAAGAATCACGAAATATGTACTGCACACTATACCGTCCGAGACAAGTCCGAGAACGAAAGAATCCAACTATGCGTTATGGGTATGAACTCGTGTCGATGGCTCAAGCGCGTGATGCATTGCTCGAATGACTCTCCCCTTCTTTCCAGATGTCCTTCAGGGGGGAGGGTCGGGCTTACGTACCCCGCCATCAATGAGCTCTACCTGATCGCCATCGTCACTGTCGCGGAAACGCTGAGCATCTTGCACCGTTGTGGGGAGGGCAGGTTCGTCGCGTGGAACACGAGGTGAATAAGGACGGTGCGACATGGGGGATGCGAGTGAAGGGAAATATTGCCGATATGCAAAGTATGCGATAACAAAGCCTAGGATGGAACCAGCGATGACGTCTTGCCAGTGATCTAATACTCATTGACGTTAATCATGAAGTATCAGCAGCTCAAGGCAGCTCACGTCTGTAATCCATCGTACGTGAAATAGCTACAAGGGTTGCACCAGCTAATGGGGTTACGGATATCCAAGCCTTGTGCTGGTAGTTCGTTTTAGTGGACGGGTGTTCACCAGGGCTTTGATCACACTTACCGCGTGGCCCCTAGTATCGAATAGGTGCATCTTGCCTGCGAGATAGAGAGAAAGGAAACCCAGACCCGCGAAAGAGACTACATAAATTAGGGTCAACGTTCATCAGGAATGCATGTTAGGTAAACTTACGACTCGAGTGACCACTGGGAAAGCTACGCCACCCATCGAGCATTATCGACTGGTCCGTCTGTGTACAGATGGCATCGGTTAATAATCCATAGGTTGGATCTTGAGAACCAGATGTTGGGATGCAACGAGAAAGGAGATCTAGAATCATATGCAACCTCAATGATCGATAACCAGGTGATGGGCAAGCCAAACCTGGGCGCGGACGGCCGACAGTAATCTTGGAGAATTGGGTAACAGCACCTGTTATAGCCAGACCAAGAATCACTGGAATGGTCTGTTATTCAATATGTGTCCTCTCGAATAAAAATACGACGGACGGCCGAGGACACTGCAATGATAGTCCCAGAAAGATCGGACGCTAATCAAGTTGACGGCAAGCTGGATGACCAAAGGAGCCACGACAGCGATAAAGTACAGAGCAATGTCCTAGGCATAATCGAAATATTTTTGAGAACACAATAGATCTCAATGTAGAAACAACACGCACTGGCACACGTTCCTGGACAGCATAGCTGTTTGTCGGATGTCAATGTCGAGATAGACGAGGTTATGAATCTAGCTTACGGGAAGCGAATCCTTGGGGTTGGCGGTTAATATGATTACTAGGTTCTAGTTCGACGGCGACCTACGTCATATCATTAACAGAAAATTGTCTTCTGAACCCATGGATAGAGTTCAACCCGAAGAATACGGCCCTGCATCAAACTCGAGCGTGAGTAGGACGGCCGAAGAACAATGGACTTACGCAAAAACTATCGTTAAAATCCTAACAAACGGATCAGCATCATAGTATGCCTCTGCTCGACTTACGCACCAATCTGGGGCGTAAGATTTGAGGAGTTTGAGGCGCCTCTTGTTGTCGGTCTTCTTCGTGGTGGCATTGCGCCGGGGTGATCCAAAGAACTTGCCCAAGGGCGACATCGTGAACTCGTCTGCTAGGGGTGGTCTCATCAAGGTCTCATCGAGAAGGGATTTTAAAGGGTGATCGCCGCATGCCAATTGAACCACGAGGATTACACGCGATTTTCACACAGCCATGAGGATGGTCTTGGCAGCAAACGACTGCGACTGCGCACGCAGTTGGTTCAATACTTGAGCCGGTCGTGTGATGCATTGGCAATTCAACTTGATCACTTGTACACATGGACGGGGAGACAAAGAGTGACTGGTCTACGACTTGCAGATCTCGAGAAGCCTTGGCAGTTAATTAGCCGTCCGACCGAAGTCAAGGTGCAAGCCTTGTTATGTAACCCGGACTCTGGAACACCGCCAAACTTGTTCGTTGCAGGCTACTAGTAACATGGCATCCACAGCCGAATGCCTATCAGAAACTTTTGAATGGCGTCCAGGTATATGGCACAGCCCGACCTGCTGCGCGCCAGGCTCATAGATCATCACGAGCAGAATATCAATCGGTCCTGGAGCATATTGCGTCCACTGACACTCTCGATCCCAAGTGAGCCTTTCCGTGACGGCCTACCGACAGTCCAACCTGACCACCAGGTAGCACAGAATGGCAACTTCTCCGAGAGATGATCAAGTGCAAGATAGGCCAGGTGCGTTACAACAGATACTTGCTTCCCGAATACTTAGTTTGAGCATCTGTTAGAATATTGCATTATTCCTTGCCGACGCTGCTCGGCCCATGGAGCCTTCAAAGCCTGCCACAGGGGCGGTAGACAGCTCAGGGAACTTGAGGTTGCCTCCATTTCCTCCTCGCAAGCCCAACGAAATGAACCCTCACGATACACCCAAAGCTCGAATGAATCAAGATGAAGCAAACGAGATGCAGAGCCGTCTCTTTCGGCAACTCCATGAATTCGAAGAGTGCGTTGGACAGCGTTCATTCTGATCGTTCGCTGACAACAGTACCCAGGGACCCGCCGTTTACCATCCAACGGCTGTGCGAGCTTTGCGTATATCCAAAGCAACACTACACGTTCATCGGGAAATATCTTCGTGCAGTAGAGAAATCGCTTCTTGTCACATCGACTTGGGATGCATTCCCTGTAGAAGTATCCCCAAACGGGTTCTCAATAGGTACATTCCCGACTGGTCCATCACAATCCACACCCACAACTCCAATGTTTTCGCCCATTCCGTTCTTGCACGATGATGCAAGACGTTCCAAATCACAAAGCCCCCCACCATCACCACTCACACTTGCCGCAATGGAAATGGGTGGGGCTCTTGACGAACCGATGACGCAGCGAGCGATAGGGTTAGTAGACGAACTTGACGATCCGAGTCCAGGACATATGAGCGATCATCCAACTGCA